TAAGTAGTATAGAGTAATCTAGTGGATAATATAATCTAAGTAATATAGAGTAATCTAGTGGATAATATAAACTAATCTAAGTAATATAGAGTAATCTAGTGGATAATATAATCTAAGTAATATAGAGTAATCTAGTGGATAATATAAACTAATCTAAGTAGTATAGAGTAATCTAGTGGATAATATAATCTAAGTAATATAGAGTAATCTAGTGGATAATATAATCTAAGTAGTATAATCTAGTGGATAATTTAATTGACTGAACGAAACGAAAGTGGCATTTTTAAACAGTTAATAAAAATGATGCAAGAGAAAGACTCGACGAAGTGATGGATAAGACTGAAAGATTACCTAAATGATGCAATCCCACCCATTATCTAATTTTTTTTTTTTATCCCCGCGATATCATTTATTGAATGTTCTATTGGACCACCTGATATGAATGAAGCGTTTACAGTTCTGAATGTAAAACATTAGATGCAATAGCTGAAACTCAGGAAATATTAAGTGAAAAATACGGGAGAATTTATTTTAAAGGAGGAATGTAAGCAATGTTGTCATTAGTTTCTCAATGGTATCCAGGAGATAAGCCTTGAAGGACTTAAAATAGAATTGAATCCAATGGGAATAATCTCTCAAAATAAAAGGAATAAAATTTATGAAAAAGTGTAATAAGTATATGAACTATTTCAATCTTATTTAACCTTAACAAATTTTACTTACAATCACTTCTAAAAGTATTTTTAAATGAACATTTTTATTTAGAAAATGGTATTAAAAATCTCTGATTCTGGTCAATTATCATCTTCCAGTATGCTATGGTCTGAACCACCTCTAAATATCACAATGTCTTTCACTTTCTTCAACATCTCTAACAGCCAACAGGTTCTAAATCTTTTCTAATAAATCTTCCACCCACTCAATCAAACAATACTTTGGGTAATTCCAAAATGATTAATTAACCTCAGACACCACTTGACCTCAAATCAAAGTTATTGCTGTGTTTCAAGCATGAAATAATCGTGTATGTGTGTGTGTGTGTCTGTGCGTGTGAGTAAATTAATACGGGATGAATCAATGTAAGCGTGGAGGTGCGTGGGTGTAGGAACGTACGAAGTGAGCTAATGTGGGCGTGGAGATGCGTGGGTGTATTGGAGTATGACTACGCAAAATACAAATTATGTCCTCCTTAGATAAAAAAACTGTACTTCTTAAGACAAAAGATGCAATTAGCAACCTACAGGGCTATCTGACGTCCTCCTCCCCTCCCCCACATTTAATCTTTACGTTGAAAATAAATGACACATATTTTTGAATTTCTTATAATCTTTTTATCAAATTGCAGATGCAATATTATGCAGCAAAACCAAATGTTACCGAAAAAGGACCCTTTTCTTTTCGGTACTATCTTACTACCTTAATTTCCCAATTCTTTACTAGTCGAATACAATTTAAGTTGATTAATTGAATAGAATGAGACAATTTCCTCCATGATGCATGTTAGTCTTTGTTTGTATGGTCTTTGACAACATCAACTGCGGTGTCTTTATTCAGGATTCTGTCATTCAGTTCGAATTCGTTTTAAATGCTGATATCATAAGTTATGAATCTTTCAGGATGGCAGAGAGAAAGAAGGATTTGAAATTCAGCAAGGATGGCAATACCGTTTATTACAAAAGTTACAAACAGTATTTCTATGATCCCGACATATCATGTGCTACATGCCGTAACAATCCGGAATTGATACTTCCAAATGTCGTGGCACTGGTATCATTTCCTTCTGATTTATCAATTCCATTTTTCATCGTTTTCATGCGATAACACTGCTCCAAAACTTTCCTCATAACTTCTTTTTCAAGATTATGGTAGTTGAATCCAAATTAATTATGAATTAACCTCAGATCTAAAGTTGTTATTATTCTTCAGGAATTGCTGAAATTCTGAAAAAACCTAAAAAGTTTTCGAAACATGGATAAATCCACAAGTTTTCTTTCTTCGTGCTTAGATAACTTTGGTGACAAATAATACTTTCGATTTCGGATTTTTTATTTGTTGAAAATGAATATTTCAGGGAGCGGTAGCAACAATGATGCAAGAGAAAGAATGCGGTCCGACCTGTCGCCTAATAATTGATGTCGGGCTGTTACTTATGGGCGAGTATCCTTTTCGGTGAATGTATTCATTACATTTCCTACAGCGACATCAGACTTATATTAATTTTTGCTTCTAAGAGAAAAACTGTTAGGTGGTATGTTGCTTCAATCTTCCTAAAAGTGAATCCATTAAATTAAACCTGAATTCAGAAGGTTGAGGCCATTGAATGTTACATTCTACGGATACAACGATCCATTGCTTTCGCTTGCAAATTCACCCATTTTCAAATTTCTTGGCGATAAATTTAACAACGGTAAACCGGTTATCCCGCTCAAAATCCCACACTTACCAAATTTGGCTTTGTTTTACAGAGTATGCTTCGCTCCTTCATATTTCAAGTAAAGAATATATGTTCGCTTCGATATCTATTTTATCTTTTATGTGCTAAATTTAAAAGTCCAAATAATTGAACAGTCGAACAGTCAAATATTTCAATTTTAAAATGACTAGTTTTCTTAGTTTTGTTTTGAAGAAACACTAAGGTGTCTTCCTTCACTTGAAATGAAGAAAATTTCCTTCAATTCAGTCAATTTATTTTTCTTCTGATTGTGCCCTGCTCTACGAATTTTTGCAACGGAAATTCATATTTCAGCTTAACAATTCTAATGATGAAGATTATATTATTGAAACGGGTAAAAAAGATATTGATTCAATTGGAATGATTCGAACCTGGGCTGGATTCAACCTTTTGCCGTTATCTTGGTGGCAAACAATGCAAGCGCGAATGATCAATGGAACTGGTTCCTCCCTTTACATAGATTTTTCGAAGTTTTATCTTCAATTCAAGACTACCAAATTCTTCAAATTTGTGGAATGTACCTGAAAATTGCAAATTTATAAAATATAGAGAGGAAGGTTGAAATTGGTTTTCTTAAAATATCAGAAAAAGAAAAGTTTAATTTGTTTGATTTGAACTTTCAGTGAAGTTAGCAAATCCATTTTCCTGGAGAATTTATACATGCTAATCGAATTTCCTTACACGAGGGATGCTTATTGCAGTAAAACACTTTCAGATTTCAGATACCGGAAGTTTTGCACCGTTACATTTGACGTCCAACAATATTCTCCCTTTCTTCAGTTCATTTTTGTGTCGGTGCGACCTTGATCACCATTACTTTCTTTGATTTTCTACAAATAATTTTGTAAAACTTTAAGTTATGCTAATTTGCACAAAGCTTACAATTCAATTCATTTCTGAGTTTCGTACTATTTTTCAGATCATTTACAGCAGTATTTTCTAAGCATTCAACCTATAAGGGAATGAAAAGTGTAGAATTTGTGGTTTCACAAGAAGAATTTGATACTATCGATAATAATTATATCGGTTTCCGATATCGTAATCTCGAGAAAATCAAGTATTTTCCGGAATGGAGTCCGTGCTCAAAGTAGGAAGCATTTCGTATTTCTAATTCATTAGGTTTCGAAGTTAATGGTTTGCAATGAAAATTTTAAATAAGTGAATTTAAAAGTATTGTAAAAGGTTCATAATTGTGCGAGACTATGCCATTCAATTATTCAGTAAGGAAACCAGACATTATTGGTTTCGAAATTATCATTTGCTTCATTTCCAGTATTCCATTTTCCACTAATTCAACACTCAACTCAGTACTTAATTACTACCCATTGCGTCATCATGTCAAATTTTGGATAATTTTTAAAAACAAAAGTGATAGGCTTCACTAATTTTAGGATGACAAGAAGCAATAACTTTACTTCTTGTTCAAGTACAAGCATCAATTGCTTGTTGAAGGAAAACTTGTGTCATGAGTGTTGCGAAGGGAGCTACGTAAATGGAACTTACCTGTTACCTCCGGGAATGTTTCCGCTTGTATGTTTCCCAGGTATGCTACTCCCTATCTTTAAAATCGATCGTTCCAGTATACCTAACACTACCTACCTTTCCATCCAACTTTTACTTTGTTCAACTCTGTTGAACTCTTACTTTTACTTCTCGAAATCATCCATTTTTTTTACTGCTTTTACCACTTTTTTCTTAATCTTCCAATTTTTGAGCTCTTTATCGGTTCATTTTCAACGTCTTCTCAATATATACCCTTTCTTGCATGAAAATGTTCAGTTCAGTATCTTTTAAATCCAATCGGAAATTCAAGCATATTTAAAATTTAATAACGAATTAGACTTGTTTTCGGCCGTAATTCAAAGTTTTGCTTTCGAAATCTTGAAAATGTAAATTATCCTTGGTATAAATCATTCCAAATGCAGCTAAAATACATACACGAGTTGCTACTTCAGGCAAAAATGAAACATTACCAGTGTCAGTCATCATATCACCACCTTATTTTTCTTATTCTCCGAAAGAAGTCACTGATTCGGTAATTGGTTTTCCACGATTGGATATTAAACCATCAGCATTTACGTTTGTCAGAGAACCGGTAATTATAAGACTTTCTTTGGTTTTAATGTTTTGCAAATCATAATAATTACATTAGCATCACGAATAGTCAATACTACTCTTTTAAAGAAATGATATCTGTAAAATTGGTGCAAATTTGTATTTTAACATTCTCTGCAGTTAACGGGATTATTGATGCAAATTGATATCCAACTGATGGTGTCATTTCCTATGTTTCGAACGAATGAATCAACGTAAGTTCAAAATAATATTTGAAAAATAATTTATTTACCAGTTATAATTTAAACAATTGAAGTTTGAATATTTGACAAATTTTCTGAATTAATTTCAAAATTTCGATGACAGAACAGTAGTGGAAATATTCTTTGAATGATAAAATTTAAAATCTTCGAAAATTACAAATATCAATACTTCTTCCTAGAATTGCAACTCGATTGCCGAACTTGATGACACCGATGATGTTGATTCGAGTGCACGGTGAACTTTCTGATGATCTATTCCAAATGCTGTTTATTGGTATAATGTTGATTCCAAAAATGTGTTGGA